TATATATATATACACGAATTATAACTGTTGTTATATAGGATGTCAATGTAACAGGGAGGAACAACTAAATGTCCAAATGTATTTACTGTTAATGGTGTTTAATACATGAAACTTGTGGAAATATTTAATCTTATTTATATATTTTGAAACATGTTATAAGATAAATCGAGACAGAAGAGATTTTCATATGAGCTAAGTATTTTGATAATATTGTATCAATCAGTATTATTAAAACATGATTATGCTTTTATATGAGAAATTACTTATATGTAAGTATGTATTATAAAAGTAAAAAAAAAAAAAGGATATGGAGTACAATTTCATTATTTATCAAGTTTTACATATATTATTACTGTCAAGTGCGATTGCTAGTATTTACAAAACGTGTACAATTGAAAATAATTTAAACATTATTTTAAAAATATATTGCATTTTATATTATTTATTTTCATTGTAAAATAATGTTGAATACAGAGATCCTAAAGTGTGAATATTTGCCAATAATACTAAACGAAGAGTATCTGTAAAACGTGCATTGGGCGATGACATATCGATATCTCTCCAAGCTATATTGGTACCTTCATTTCGCGTAAATAGCGCTGGAGATGGCACATTTTCACGCATGTATGCCCACAAACATTCCCTCATTATTGTACTGATCTGCAATCAGAACCATTTGCGAAATATAAAAAATTTGAATATATGAATTTAATTGAAATAATATTGTAGAAATAAAAACAGACCTGATGAGGTTGTAAAACAGGTAGAATGTCTCTAATACTCGCCAGCGGTGGTGGTAATAATTGACCAAGTGCCATTATATTGACAAGCGAAACGCCTTCCTCTGTATTCCAATTAGCCATGACAGTCGCAGTAATGCCTCTCAGTAAAACGGAACAATATGCTAATGCCGGCCTATACCAAGCAGTCAATTCTAACAATGTCCATAACAAAGAAACATCCTTGAATTTACGACGGATTTGTAAATCTCTTTCTATTGTGACCTGCAGTAATGAAAAATTAAAATAATTAACTAGAGATGATGCAGAGCTCAATGTCATAGTTGTTTGTTAATGAAAGATTCGGTTAGTTCATTAAATTTAATAAATCTTGTTGCCATTCTTCAATACAAAATTTATTTTTACAGGAAAAATATTCTACTCTGACAGAAACAAAATTTATAAAACATAAATTTAATCCAAAAGTATCTAAAGCTAAATAAATCTCGTAAATGTATCGGTTCTCAAAGAAAAAATTTCCAATTAAAAAGTTAATTATAAAAAAATCAATAAGTTAATTGTGAAACTAATTGAGAAAAATTAGCATATTAATAATTAACATAAATACCTTTGTAAATTCCTCGTCAGGCCACGGTAAACCATTGTACATAACATCAGGCGATACCAATTCAACTAACAACAAACTGACCATTGTCAGAGCATCCAAGTTAATTGGATATCGATCTGATTCCTGATTGCTGCAACAAGCCTGAAAATAATTCGAATTGAATGTTACGAGTATTTAATATAAAATTTAGAGATTTACTAAAAATTTACTAAAATTTACTAAAAATGAACTCTATCGGATTTTTTACCTTTATTACATCTATTAGCAATATTTTGTTTAAAGTAATGATTTCCTTATCGATCGAATTTTCCGGCGGAAGTCTTCGTGGACCATGTCCTATCACGCCAGCGTGAAATACTGATGAATGTCGCTGCGCTAACATGGTACTCGTCACCTAAGATGAGATCATATAAAACATATTCTGCATATTTAAAATGTATTTTTATCATATTTTTATACTTGTTTATGATTCTGATGTAATAATAACATCTCTTCAAAATGAGGCTCGAATTTTTCCTTTGCGCCAAAGTATTTAGCCTGCTCATTATTGATACTATTTCCTAGTATCTCTCTGAGAGCCAATACACGTGCGGACGTAGAATGACATGTTAAATCTTTCAGTAAATGACATACCATCTTTACTCCTTGTTCTTTTTTTATAATATCTAAAAAAAATTGCATTATCATATACTTTGTTACTTAAAAAAATAAGACTTTTTATAGAATTCTAATTACCAGTTTGAGCAATGCATAAAAAGAAATACTGTATGATTGCTCTTGTTAATTTCAGCATAAGTTCTATATCGAGAATATGGTCTTTTTCGGATGTGCTCAACAGATCCAAGAGAGTAATGACATCATTCGCCAAATTAAAATCATCGCTTCTCATCAATAAACAAGATATTTGATATAAATTAGCTCTGAGGGCTCTGCTAATCATTTGTGATTGCAATATCTCCACCTTATTTGATTTTTCCCATCTAATAAAATAGAAAGACATTAATTATTAAATTAAACTGTAAAATATTTAATTATTTTAAAAACTGTTGACACTTGCTTTAACATCAGAATAAGATTTTTGAATAACTGTTTTGATTCCTCTTTTTCTATCACATTTTTATAGTATATTTCTCTGAGTGCTTGTTCCAAAACCTGCGTAAAATAATCGTGACCAGCAAGCATATTTTCAGTTACGGATTTACTCGTAGGAAATTGTACAACATTATTAGTGATAAGACGTATTAAGGCCGCAAGATGGAACATTGTTTGTGCCTTCATCAGCATGTAGGATACTGTGGAGACAACTATGTTCGGATTTTGACTTCTGAGAAAACATAATAGTCTGACAGCCGTTTGCACACGCAGTGGATTTGGATTTAGCAGCATTGGTACTATCAACGATATCTCCTGTTTGATAGAACTCAACAGATGAATATTTGCGGATTGAGGTCCGTGCGTTCTCAATAAGAGGTCGATTTCCTGTAGAATCAATTCTAATATCTCCCGACAAATGTTTTTCACATTTTGTGCCGCATTAACACTGTGATAGCCGACGTTGCTCGTGTTTAAACTTATATCTAATAGTACATTGATTATTTGTGATGCGCCTTGCTCACATCCTAATATTAAATGTACCATCAAGTCCATTAAGGCCGCTGGTTGATTATCAAAGTATTTACACCAATCTGCTGCAAACAATGCCAGTTGTGGTATGATGTCTGATTTCACTATAACAAACATTATTTTATAGCTATATTTAATTGTAATGATAACATTAGATTTACTTTAAATGTAATTTCTATTAAAAACATACATATTTGTAACACATCGCTAGTTATTGCTTTCAAAAGAGTTTGAGAAAGTGAAGCCAAATTCAAAAGAAATGGTACAGTGGCTAGTTTCTGCTTTTTGGTATCTTCGTCAAGATTTATATCTTCTTCTAAACTCCACTAAGAGATAAATTATTCAAATATATTATGTAACACATAATATAACTTAAATTAGAAATATGTACACCATACAACTTATATAATAAGCTTACTTCAAACAAATCTAACAGTGCTTTTCTAATATCTTGAAAATGGCTACCAGCTAAATGTCCCAATATACCGACAACAGAATTTAACTTTGGATTCTTAACATTATGTTCATAGCCCATGGCACAGAAGTCTTTCAATCCACACGATAACACCCTCGTGATCACAGTATTTGGAAAGCAGCTTCCTACATGAGCAACGACCCAATCGAAATATGGACTGTGTATCACACTGGTGTCTAATAATGCCTTGATACAAGACTCCGTATCGGAATGCATAAGACACTGCAGACATTGGGCCGTAATGTCTATTAGAGTCCTTGTTGCACGGCACGACATCCATTGTTGCATAAAATCATTGATGCCTGCATTGACAGGTAAATTGCCGCGTTTTGAATAATCCGAGGATAGTTTGCCTGTGGAAGGAACTTACTTTGTACATCGCAGAAATGGATTTTGTAATAAATTAAATAAAATATGTTTAGTTATATATATTTAGTACTTCAATATATATATGTATATATAACTAAATATAAATTAAATTATATATATATACCTAGTAAGTCCAACGACCATGCTGATATGATAGGTGCCCATGCTTCTGGATTTCCATTGACGAAACTGCTCAGGATAGCATGAATTTCTGCTATAATGCTCTCTTCAGATATCGATATATTCTGATTTGACTATAAAGATTATGTATGTGAATTGTCGATATTATTTTAATCATATTGAAATGCTAAAAGGGTGAATTAAGAATACAATACGATTACATACCTCGATCTGACGAACATATTTTGTTACAGCGACGAAAAATACATTACAAAAATATTCAAGTACAGCTTCCCTCGCTGCGGGTACATTTTTCAACAAAGATAATGCCGTACGGGTTACATCTTGTGTGTTTGTATTATGGGCAGGCCGAATGGCACCGGAGATGAATTTTCTAACCTCAGTTAAAATGTCCTGAGGCGACAAAGTCGCCGTATTATGCAGCATTTTTGACGAATTATTAGTAAAAATACTTTAGGTACAAAGCATCGTCCAATTATGTCCGCATTTCCAGTCAAATCAACATAAATTCATTGCCTCAATGAGTCGTGGCTTTTCTTGAGTAAGAGGTTATGATATATGAAAGGTTAGTCTTCAGACATCTTTTTTTTGAAAGCATATTTTTATTCCAAAAATCATCTTTGCCAATTATATATATAATTTATATGAGAAAGAATATATTTATATAAGAATTTTATATAAGAAAGTTATTTTTTCTCCTATGAAATATTAAGTAGAGATAACGTTTTTACATAATTGATGTACAAATACGAAGTTGAGAGAAGTTCCATGCTTAAAAAATAGAATATATACTTAATACATCTTTTTTTTGGAAGACCTTGTATTGCAAAAATCTTTCTCGCAAATTATATGAAAGATAATAATTTTTTCTTTTATAAAATATTACATAGAAATAATGATTTTACAATGATTATATGTGAGGTTGAAGATATACCTCCATGCTTAAAAAGTAGGATGAAATTATATTTTACAAATTGACAAATTGTATTATAAAATGACCATTTAGTAAATAACTTAGATGAAAACGAACTGAAGACATTCTAAAAATTCAGCTTTAAAAAATCTTGAATTATAAATGAAAATAAATTAATTGATAATTTTCCATTTAAGGAATACAGTTGATACAAATGTCCTATTTTTTTTTACGTTTCATGAGAAGAAACAGAGACAAAACTTATGTCACCAAATGGAAAACATCTAATGTAAGATTATGAGATTAATATCAAAGTAATGTCGTAGGAAATGTAAACAGTTCAACGTCTCTTCTTTTTCTCCTGCTTCCGTGGCCGATGAGGTCTTCTTGGCGTCACTTGAGGACTGTTTTCGGAACATTCAACATCACTTGGATCATCCTACAATGACAAGAATTATTGCCGCAAGAAAGCCATTGTCTTAACAGTCTGCAACAGTTAGAACCTTACCTTCAAAGTCGCCACACCATCGGATGGACCAGCCTGATACACAACTATAGCTAACAAGCACATGATTTGGAATACTGCACCTACATAAAGGCCGAATCTCAGCAACTGTTCAAATAGAGTTTCCTCCGCTGGCAGTAAAAGGCGTTTAAATTGTGGATCCGCGTCAGCCATCTCTAAATATAAAAAAACACATAGGCGTTTATTTACAATACATCAATAGAATATAAATTTATTAAAATTAAAAGAAATAATAATAGGTTTCTAAGAAGTTTACTACACTTAATATTAAAGCAAAATTCGTTTTTGTCAAATCTTGAATACTTGCAGAACACAAAACAGTAACATTATACAATAATATAATTGATAACATATACATAAGTTATATTGTTGATATAATAAAGAAAATCAATGTTAAGAGTAGTTATTAAAGAGACATAAGTTATAACAATTTTTAGTATTTTACAAGAATATATTGTTATCAATTGGATTTCAATTTAGAATATAATAAGTTTTAAATTTAAATACATATAACTGTTATATTTTAATTTTACATCAAGTATAAATTATATATTAATGCTTTGTTATTGTTAATGTGTTTTGCGGGCATATATTTATTTCATTTTAAGTATGTGTAAGAAGTATTAGTTTAGCTACAAAAAAGACTAACAATAACAGATCAATGTGCGTATCTGAACGAACAAACATATACAGTCATGGTTTTCTCTCGAACAATTTGCATAACAAACCATCGACGCAATGGAATCCAATTATTTCAATTCGAAGTACGTCACATCCCCACAAAAATCGCGGAAGCGTATAATTATTCGAAACATGTTCATTCGTAAATTTATATTCGGGCTCCCCTGACGAATCTTATTTTTTCGTTTTGTTTTCTTTTATTTCTAATGCATCTAAGGCATTTCATTCTTTTGCTCCAAGCAATTCTCGCACGAAAAACAATCCTGTCTTTCTTGTCTTCCTTTTCTCGCGCAAAGAACTTTCTGCGGACTTCATCAAAAGAGTCCTCGAACGATAAATACCTGCTCACGCTGGCACGCGTGTCTCGCGGTATTTATGCGAGAAATATATATCTTTATAAAGCTAGGAAATCAATAAACGACAATGACCGACGATGATCGCCACCTCGTATTCTCTCGCGAGTAGCGACAGATAGTACCAACATTAAAACGTTCATAAACATATGTACGCACGTCCTTCCCAGCCACTGCAGTCCCGTCACAGTAATCGTGACGTTTCATGGAACCTAAGCCGCCTAAGCGGTCCCGAATCCAGTGGTGGACGATGGCGGAGGATTCGCGCGACTTTCGGCTACTTTCGAGCGGTCGACGGAAAATTCGAGATCGCGATCGTGGTTCTTCGGTTTTACACGCCGAATTCGACCGAGGCCATCCGCTCGGAATGGCTCGGTTGGGCTCGACTCAGCTCGGTTCAGACTCGATCAGATTCGGCGTAGCGCGACGCAGTTTAGCTTCCTGACGTTGGCAACGCACGGCGTTCACGCTTGCCGCGTTCGCCGACAGATGGCGCCGTGCGCGAGCGGCGCGACATCTTCCCGCAATCGTGATTAACTTCGGCCCAGTCAGGCGTCTGTCCTTCGGCGAATTTGCACGCGCTAATTAATTATCTCGATTTCGTCGTGTAGCGTATCTCACGTTTAATTTTGCGCCGTACAAATTTCAGCGATTGTAATTGCAGACGAAAAAATGACGGCGGAACGGAATTGATGCGGAAATCGACTCGATTGATTTGAATTAAGCGCCACATCGTGAGCGCCGGAAAGACGCTGGGTTCGAGGCTCGCTAGCTCGCGAGTCCGTGGATGTGAACCTTTGTTTTGTACAAAAGTAATGGCTGCCATCTCTAGTTTTCGATTGATGTTTTCCGTGGAGAGACCGAATTCCCGTGTTTACCGCGGTATTTAATAACGCAGGATCGCTTTGCGCGGCGCATCGGCGTCGACCGCGATGTAAACGGTGTTCAGACGCACGTCGTTTTGACTGCCTCAGTGTCATTTCCGCGGAAAAATGCCTGTGTTTACATCCGAGCTACGAGCGAGCTTCTGTATTCCTGTCACATTAAGGTAAGCGACGCTTTTTCGGATCGCAAATCGGTTTGGCGACGCAGTGGTGTTTCGGATTGCAGAAATTTATCGAGAAATTGCAATTCTACGACCGTCGATGACGATTCCCATTCTCGTTGGCCGACAACGATCATCGTCGTCGATCATCGTAGTTTCTCAAATTCGCTCGCATTTTCCTCGTCTTAGTAATGTTTAGAGCCATATATCGCGTTGTTTCATCAATCGCTTTATTCTCTGATTGAAAAAACACGCGAGTGTCTGCGGAATTGCTTCGAGGAGCAGATGAGTCCGTCGTTCGTCGTACTTAACCAAAAAAAAGTTATGTCTCTCCCGAGATAAAAGATGGGCAGCCCGACGCGGATTCCTGGTTTTTCTTGTTCTAATTCAAATGGGAACGAAGATGAAAACGTACATCGCGTTGAATTACCGTGAAATCGGTGAGAAATATTCATTGGGCATCTAATTTGTGCATAACGCAATTTTTCGTCTCAGATGGTGGCAACAATGGCTGGTAAAATGGTAAGCGAGGGCAGGTCAAGCGCACACACATCGCTGCGAAACTCTACGGCTCGTTTCCTGCGATCGTGAAATATGTTTTCTCAATCATGCACGTGTTTTTCATGTCAGACTGATTTAGGCGATTGATTTTTCCAAAGAAAAAAAATTTGAGACTCCTTTAAATTCAGTTATGCAATTTATATCAAATATTCGCATCTCAAATGGTTACTCTATAATTTTTTTTTTTTTTAAGGATACTCTGTAGAACTTTCAGAGTGAATCTTACTGTAAAGAGTGAAATCTCATTTTTAAAGATTGGAAATTGAGTTATTCTTTTTTAAGACTGGTACAAATTTCACTCAGAATGATATCAAACATGAAATTTTGAAATCTTAGATTGCTACTTTGTAATTTCTTTTCACAGGTTACTCTAAAATTTTTAGAGTGGATCTCTCACTTGGAGCAGTAACATTTCACTCTTAAAGATTAAAAATTGAGCCGTTTTTTTTTTCAAAATAGACTCACTTTTCACTCTTTAGAGTGAGATTCCACTGTATAGAATTTAGATAGTATATTGACACAGATGTGCCTTTATTCTTTATGTCAGAATAACAGATAGATGTTTATATTCATCTGTTTTTTTTATTATAAAGTTATTATTATTATTATTATTTCTTAGGTCAAAATTTCTGCTTTATTTATCACAAATATTTTTTTTTCTAAGTTTAATGGATATCTTCTGTATTAATAGAGTTATCAAGTCATTTTAACCAGATAAAATTAAGTTTTTCTAAGTAACCTTGGAAAGGAAAAGCAAGAAAATTAATGTCGATATAAAATGTTTTGCTGCAAATGTAAATTTAAATTCCTATAACTATCATTTCTATAGAGATGATCTCGTTAATTTAATCATCATGATTCAATCTTCATACAAGTTTCCAGTATTTTCTTTTTTAAATCTCTCTGATTATGAAAAAAACCTGATTTTTGGGCGTATGAAACTTTATTACTAGCAGATGGAGGTATTAATAATTTTATTTTTTTTAGAACATTTTTTTACATAAAAGCAACAGATCCTATGTGAAAGGATATCGTTCGAAAGCAGCGCCAAGCGTTATTTCTTCCTCTCTACGTCGAGATTTACAATTCAGATCCAGTATACATCGCATCAACAATACAATTTCGCCGGGATTTGAACAGATCTAACCTAAGCGCGATCGGAAAAGTCAGCAAATGAAACAACGGTTGAAAACTGCTGCGCGGCGGGAACAGAAAAATGTTTCCAGGCGGCGCTTCCTTCGCTCGTTGGCGGCCATATTGTCTATTCGGCCTTCCTACGCTACCCCCCAATCCTCAGCTACCCTTTACTCTTCGCCTCCTCTCCCGTGGAATCCCCCTTTTCAGGATCTTTTCAGCGTGCTATCCCTTCCAGCTGTACTCTCGCCTCTCCTATTTTCTCTCTCTTTCTCTCTCGCCACCGTCCGATTTTCCTCTCTCCGTTCTCTCGCATAAGGTTTCCTCGTTGCTCGCTGTGAAAGCTGTACGTACCTAGTGAACATAGCGGCGAACGCGTGCGATGCGTATTTAACCGAGGCTTAGTATGACACAGAAGTGAAGAACGAAGTTTTATTTCGTGTTTCAGATACATCCTCAGAGAAAATCTGAAAATTTTCCAGGATCGAAATTGTTTTATGTCTCTCTTTCTTCCTTCCACTCTCTTCTATTGCGATTTCATTCGGCGCGAGATTTGTTTGCGAAATATTGGACACGCGCGGACTCTCCTCCCGGGTTCCACATCCATGTAGATATCTATATTCTATTTTTAGACAACGCGCACGGCTGACTTGAACCCGGTGCCGCGCGCAATAGTAAGCCGGAAGTGAAATATTAACAAATATTAGACGATGCGGCGACGCGGTATTTAAACCGTGCGCGTGCAATCGGCTAGTATTAGCGGTGTAATTACGGAGCTACGTAAACGGAGTGACCTGAAGCATTCTATAGTTTTTTTAACGAGAGACTATTAATCTTATGACTTTAAATTAATTTAAATGTA